GTTTATTGGAAATAAGAGTTTCATGGACTTTCCTGCCTGGGCTGGCTTTGAACCGTGATTCTCAGATCTCAGTCTCCTGAGTGGTTAGGAATAAGGCATGAGCCACCAGTGCCTACCTGAGCTATTGCTTTTACACATGAAAGACTTGCACATTTTATTCACTAAATGAAACTTGTGTTTAACTTGTCTTTTAACAGCAATGCCTTAGAAGGCAACTAAGAAAATTCTCTTCTATAGGTTCTCTTTGTTTCTAACTCTCTGTCTGTCTCTGTCTCTGTCTGTCTGTCTCTCATTATCCTATAGCAGTTATATAATGTCATTGCTCCAGGTCAATGCTGTGCTCTAGTCAATTGCATTCCCTCCATCACACTCCTTGTACCTTTCCCTCTAAGAAATAGTATCCCTGACAAGTTTCCTTATTCCAGGTTCCTAGCTGTGAATAGTCTCCAATAAATTAACTTTTAAGAAAGTACCAAGAATCAACTAGCATAGTGAATATGCAAGTCTGCCTAATCACAAGAACACTTTCTACATTTGACATGTTGAACTCTCTGAATGTTGGGATGGAAGCCTACTACTTCTGGATAGTATCCTCAGGCTTCCTGTCCATTTGGAACATAACCCATCCTTTTCTTTTTGGTCATGGGTCTTGAACTCTGGGCCTGGGCACTGTCCCTCAACTCTTCAGCTCAAGGCAAGTGCTCTACTACTTGAGCCACAGTGCCACTTCTGTTTTTCTCCTGGTGGTTTATTGGAGATAAGAGTCTCACAGACTTTCCTTGCCTGGGCTGGCTTTGAACCGCCATCCTCAGATCTCAGCCTCCTGAGTAGCTGGGATTACCACCAACGCCTGCTTTAACCCAGCCTTATATTAACTTTCAGACTTCGTTTAGTTTATTTTGAAACAGGATCTCTTACATAGTCCAGGATGGCCTGGAATTTGGGATTCTACTGTCTCTGTTTCCCAAGAGCAAGGATTTATAGGCATGTATTATCATTAACTTTTAAGTAGTTCACTGGTTCTCTTCTGCTCACAGACTGAATACTGGCTTTTGGCTTCTCTCAAAAGTCAGATTGAAACATTTGTTCTTTCAAGAGGACGTGACTCACGAGAAAGTATGCCTGCCTCCCAAGTTCAAGGCCCCGGGTTCAAAGCCCAGTACTGCTACACACAAAAAACAGGGCTGTTCTTTCCAACTAATTTCTGATCTCCTGGAGCTTACCTACAATCATTGGTTTGCATGCAAGGTTTTTATAACCCCTTTGATATCTCCTTTATGTACATTTGACTTAACTTTAAGTAATCCGATTACACACCTGATTGCTATGAAACAGTGTGAGTTGCAGTGGCGTTTGTGTATGTCCCTGGAACTCATGTGTGAGCATTGGTCCTCACAGTAGTAGCATTGGGAAGTGGGACTTCGCAGAGGTGATTGGGTCCTGACAGCTCAGCCCTCATGAATACATTATTTCTCTTATAGATTAATGGGTTATCATGGGAGCATCTCTGTTATGTAAGCTCCCAGTGCTCCCTGTGGCTTAGCCATGTGATGCCCTCCACCATCTGATGAAGCAGCATGAGGTTCTCTACTGATTCCAAGAAGATGCCAGTGCCATGTTCTTATACTTCCTAGGTTCTACGATAATGAGTTAAATTGACCTTGACTCTATCAACTACCCAGTCTCAAGAACTTTGTTAGAGCAACAGAAAATGAATTAAGAGTTACAGGCAAGAAAATAAATGACAACATTATTGTAGCTAGAGACACAGAGTGGTAATGAGGAGAAGACAAAGATGACTGACGGGAAAAAGAAGAGAAGGAAGAAGAGTGTGCCAGATGAATACAGCAGATGAATGACAAACAATAAAGTGTATGTTAGATAGATTCAGTATCTGCTTTCTTTAAATCCTTCCCAACTCATCAGGCTTTTCCTTCTAATTTACTTCATAAAATTAGTACAGTCTATGGTTCCCAGGCTTCAGTAGCATTCATAACCAACACTACCTATTGTCTACTTACTGTTGCACATTATATAGAATATAAATTCACAGAAAACTTTTTGTTGTTGTAGGAAGGACAGAAAAGTTCATTTAGCTTCATAGGAATAAATTCTGAAGATTTTTGTAAAGCAGAGTGACTATAGTTAATGATTATCTTAAATATTTTCATCTTCCCTCCAAATAATGGATGTTTGAGGCTACATATGTTAGAGTTAATAATTTCACAATGTATATACACATCAACATATCATGCTCTACATGACAAACATATACAATTTTTATTTTTGAAATATATTTTAATAATACTGGAGGAAATTACCCCCTGTCCAAATACTTGACTCTTACCAAAGACATTTGCTATGCTAAAGCTATCACATCTTATTCATACACTAATTCTTCATACAGCTAATTCTTATATGGGTAATCAATAGACAACAGTGTTTTAAGCATCTGCCCACTTAAAATACTATTCCTCGGTATTTTTAAATTAGACTTTTTTTTTGAAAAAAGTATATACTCACTTGACAAATGATTGAGTTAATCTGTGCATCTATTTATAATTATGGATATCACATTGCCAAAATTTTGAGACCAGATCTCACAGCCTGGAGTAGAATTTGAAATAGAATCAATTGTCCTCAAAATTGTTTCACTTCCTATTAGACTAAATAACTAAATCTTAAGAGTATTGGCCCTGAAACTATCTGGAAGAATCTGGCAAAGCAACATGATAGCCAAGGGTGTCTCTGTCTGTGAGGAGTAGGATTACCAGAGAAGAACCACTTAGTTTAATAATTTTCCAAAGGGTCACATTGGCTGCTGTTTTCAACCTTTATTCTATTCCTGTTCAAAATGGTGCTACAGAATCTGTTGAAAATAAAATACGTTATTTAATGCTTTCAATTTTCTCTTTCTTAAATATTTGATGTTTCTAACTATGTAGGAGTCCATGGATAGTCACATGGATGAATAGTGATGTATTGAGCCCATCATTCTTACTGCTACTCTTTGAGAATTTGTTTACGGTCCAGGTTAGTAAATACAAAGATAGCATGCTACCCTCCGGGGTATTCTTGTCTTAATCTGTAGATATGTTGTTACCAGGGAATGCCAGGACAAAGAAGAATTAAGACTTTATCTGGAGTTAACGTTGCTAAACAATTGATCTTCAATTGTGCAGATGATCCTGGATTACCAATCAGGTTGCTTACAAACACCAAAATCCTTAGGAGTGTAAAAGGGAGGAGGAAGATGAGAGAGTGGTTTGACTGAAGGACCTTAAGCCTTTGAAAACAAGACCACTGTAAACCAAGCAAGGCTGACAGCCTCTGGAAGCTGGGGAAGTCAAGGAAATGAATTCTCCCTCAGAAAGAATGCAGTCTTGCTAACAGCTGATGTTAGCCCAGTGAGAGCCATTTTGGACTTTTGACCTCCAACTCAAAGATACATTTGTCTTGTTTGACACACTTAATATGTGCTAAGCGTTTACAGCAGCAATAGGAAACAATCACAGTGAGCCTCAACGTTTACTTAGTTTTTTTTTTTAATTTCTGGTATGGCTGAAGGTTTATCATGTATATTTTAAATCAAGACAGACAACTAATTAAGGGCATCCTACTCTTAAGAAAATAACGTTCTTAAATTTGTATATCATACTTGCTGAAATACAAAATAAGGATTAGTTAAAAATAATACGATGCATTTTAATATTGTTATAGGAATAAATATTGAAGCATTTTGGAAAATCAGGAATGCTTTAGTTTGTATTTTTTTAACGGAAATTCAACCAGACTGCTGCTATCTAAGGATGGTGGTGCTTTGGTCAAACTAACCTTTCGAAGGTTGAGTCTTATACCTTAAAATAGGACATACACACATACATACATGCATATATAGTAAATGTGTACATACACACATACTATATACAGTACATACTGTATGTAATACATAGTATGGTATACATATCATATGTATATATAATGTATATACATGTATATAGTGTTCATCACACACTTATCTTTATATATATACATACATATGTATGTGTATATAATATATATGATTTATCCACTAGATTCAAGGAAACGATCGATCCACAGAAAGATTTAATGAGATAATTTATGTAAAGGTCTTTGCACTGGGGCTGTGTCCAGAATACATAAGAGCTTTATATACTGGTGTTAGCTGCTATTAATGTTAGCACTTTCAGATGATTAAAGCTGCCCTTGCTGTGTTGACAGACCTGCACGTTTAATAGTCAATCGGGCTTTATTTTCTTTCAATTTAAGTTTGTAAAGCCACAACAGTCATAAAACATTCTGTGAATAGCATCTCTCTTAATAATACTTAAACCTGGCCAATGATTCCTTAAATAGTATAAAGATTCCTCTTTCACGAAACAATCGTTCAAAGAGAATAACCTAGCCGGTAGATTCGATTAAACTTTTCTTTCTCTCTCTCTCTCTCCATCTCTCTCTAAAGCAGGGCGGGGTGAAATCTCTGCTCAGTCAGAGCCCAGCGCACTCCTCGCCCGCATCACCTAATCATCAGACACCAGCTCTGGCTTCTCCTGTCTCAAGGCGGTGCCAGGTGAGCCCCGGCGGAGCGCGGAACACCGAGCTAGCGCAGAGGCCGACCAGGGACGCCCCGCGCGCCCAGCCCGCTGCGGGGAGCGCCGGCTGCAGGTTGCTAAGCTTCGCCTAAGGCGCCCCTGGCGGCCCCGCTTCGCCGGCCCTTTGCTCGTGAGCGCCCGAGGCCCCCTCCGGCAAAGGGGGAAAGGGGTGCAACACCCAAGGCCTTAAACCTTCCAACTTCTTGCGGGGGAAGGGGGGTGATTCACCGCCCGTCGTCTCCCGCCTCGCCCCGTCCGCAGCGCGGCTGCCGGGGCTCCGGAAGGAAAGGAGGCGTGTCCGGAGCGGGCGGGAGGACGCGGTATAAAAGCGCCGGCGGCGCGGCGGCGGCCCCAGCTTCACTCGCTGCCTCGCGCCGGGACCCGGGAGCGCCGCGGAGAGCCGTGGACAGGGCGCTGCGCTCGGGGCTACCCAATGCTCGGACTATCCGCCGCCGCCGCTCGTGCAATATGCTGGAGCTCCAGAACAGCTAAACGGAGTCGCCACACCGCTGCCTGGGCTGGATCGCAGCGCTGCCTTTCCTTATGAAGAAGACACAAGTGAGTGAGGGCACGCCCGGGGGCCGGGGTGGAGGGTGGGGTGTGGGGTGTGGGAGAAGGTCGGAGTCGTTCCAAGAAAATTCGCGCCCCGAGCTACGGAGAAACCGGCGCGTCCTGGGAACGGGCGTCCGGGACCTGCGGGGGCTGCGCCCGCCCGGGTGAGCCCCCAGGGCGCGGGGTCGGGAGTCGTGGGGGGCAGGCGTGGTGTAGAGTCCACGCCGCCCGGCCGGCTGAGCTTAGGGGGAGAAGGGAGTGAGAATGATGGTAGGGAGCCGGTGGTGGACAAGTTTGGAACCGCGGTCCTACTCAAGTTTTGGAGCTGTCAGTTGGAAACGGCTTTTCCGATCAGATAGATCCCCAGGGTCGGCTCTTTGGCCAGGGAGTTCTTAAGTTATCGTGGCAGTGTGTGTGTGGGGGGGGGTAACCCCACCAGGTCTTTGCACGGGAGACATCTTCTCGTGGATTCCAGGCGATGAAGAAGCACTTCACCCTCTCTGGCTCGGGAGAGCTAGATCGATTTTGTGCGGTCCCCAGGTGGGTGGGCGCGGGACGTGGTTGTGGGCGCGCGGTTGGGATGCGGCTGCTGGAGCCCAGACAAACCCCGAGCTCCCCGAGGATGCGTGCGCTCGGCAGCGCGGCGCCGGGGGAAACTCCCCGACCCGGGAAACTTGGCTTCCAAGCGGTGTGTGGCTAGTTTGCAGCTCTAGGTGGGCCTTCTCCCGAGCTCTAGATGGAGTGATACCTCCTCGATCGTGCATTCACCCCCGTCTTCCACTACAAAAGAGCGGCCAGGGGAGAAGGAGTTACATTTAAAAAGTGCACCTGGAATGATCTTGAGATGCTTCCCAGTGCCACCAAATTGTGCCCCATCTATGAAGTACCGTGGGTAAAACACTCCCCGAGGGGAGTACAATTCGATTCTTTTCTTCCTGGAAACACGAAGCTGGGTCCTGCTTGAGGAAGGGCCGCCCGTACGGGTTAACCCCTTTGCACCTCTCTGGCGATGGCTCGGTCTCTCACTTCTTCCTTTTAGAATTGGAATTGTTCTGTGTTATCTGCCCCGGGTTGGGAAGACTGCCCTCGCCGTCCCAGACGTTCCACCGGAGATTGCAATCGCCAGTGGAAAGGAAGTGGGGAGGGAGGAAAACGGAGGGTTTGTACTGATCGTCGGTTTAGAACGAAAGCATCCCGGTGTCTTGAAAAAAAAAAAAAGCTTTGCAGAATGACCCTCCAGTGGCTGATAAAGAAATGATTCGGCATGGAGATATGCACATTAAGAAAGAACTAAGAAAAGTAAAAGCCTTTCCACCCAGGTGGGGAAGGGATATTGCCTGGATTAAAGCTGATTCTCTAAAGTCCTCTCCCAGAGTCTGTAAGAGCAGAAGTGTCCTGAAGGACCTGTCTCCACTCTTTAGAAGCAGGTTGGTTTATTAGGTGAGGCACTGGACGGACACCACACCCAGACTCACCGCAGTTTCCACGCAAATATGAAAGATTCTTGCAACAAAGAAAAGTTGCTTTGTGCTGGCTTGATGTGTACATGCTTTCTGCTTTGTAGAATGATAAACAAGGGCGGGGAAGGTATTCCTTTGTATAGTAGCATCTGTTGGAATGAGTAGTGGTGGTGAGATCTGGGTGGAGGAGCCCTAGGTTCAGGAAGAGAGCACAATTCCTCGTTTAAACTAGAGAACTGGAGACAGCTCAGGTTAAGGTCCAACACACCAAAGCAGAGCAATGACTATCGAGTTACTCAGAGGGTCAATGGGATTGATGATCATTACACCCTCTGTGCAAAATAAATGTGAGCTTCTGTAATCTGCTTTCTCTCTTTGATTAAATGGCCATGTAAATAGGATTACATGGAATAGTTCCATTGAAAACTAGAAAGAGGTCAGTTTAGCCTAAAACACTGTGGCTGTGGCATTAGTGACTCAATGCTGCCGACCAGAGACATTTGAAGCAAGGGAAGTATTTTAGAAATGTGACCTGTGCAGACCAAGTTAAAGTGCAGGCCCTTTGAGACAGCTTGCTGATGTTAAAGGGGCTGAGGGCAGGCTCTTGTTGAATGAAGGCATTCATTGCTCAGGATCTAATGACCTTCAAGGTTTCTTTTAAGGGTACTGCCAGCGATTCCACATTCCTGTCACTGCAAAAGGAGGGCCCTGGAAATAGCACCAAATCAATAAATTAATCCATGGTAATAAATGAAGGGATTAGATTCTCTTTCTAAACCAAAAGTTGCCGAGACATTTTTCTGTGCAACTCTGGATGGATGGAGAGTAGTAAAAGGACGTTGGACATGAAGAAATAGAATTTAGTGGCCTTAAGAAAATTAAATCTAATGTTGTCTATGCCAAGAAGGAATACCTACTGGTGTTCAATAGTTTAAATAGTCCCCTATAAAGATAACACTAATCTCAGAGAGCCACTGTAAGCCAACTGGCCCAATACTCTTATTACATGCATAAGAAGAAAATGTAATAATATTTTAAAGAACTTTGAGTATCACAGCTCACTAAAAATTTTGGGAACATAGACATTCTGGCCTTTCAGTCAAGCTAAATAAGTGTGAAATTTCCATCAGCAGCCACTTGGGGCTTGATGAATGATTGTTTCATTTACTTAGTACATGTGATAGATGTCAGAATTTGGAAAACACGTACCAGGCAATAATCATGAAGACCAATTGTGACTGCATATTTTGTTGTAAGTCTGTAGAAACAAAAGTGTTTTGCATTTTTTTTTTAGATTTCACTCTGCATATTGTGTGATTTTACTATTTCTAAGGAACTGTGGGTTTGGCTTAAAAAAAGTATCTCTTCCATTGTACAGCCATTTATTTAAAAATACATAATACTTTGATGTCATAAATAACAATTGGGTCATCATGTTTTAGCCAGCTTCAATATTCAAGGCCACAGTTATTAATACGTTAGTTTCTCTGTAGGTTTCATGATCCTTGTCAGTTTCTGAAAGGCTCATCTTTCAGATAGGAAAGATTCATCTTATGAATATAGAAAAAACCATTTTGTGTACACTGATGCTTTCAAGGAAAAAGCAAATAGAATTTTTTGCTTTCATTATTCCAAAGAAAATATCCCTTTCTTTTTTTTTCATCTAAGAAATTGGTCACATTGGCAACAATCTAAGTAAGTGTGCTTTATAGAAAAAATTAACATATTTATGAAAAGAAGATTTTAAAGTCTTGTCCTTACGATCACTCACTTTGAAATGTGTGTCTTGAATCAATCATCCTAATTTATGTAGCTTTTAATTGATAGATTCTGCCAAGACTTTAAAATTCAAGTGCTAAGTCGATTACAGTTAACATAAAACAAGGAAAATAACCATATGGAAATCTGAACGTCCATGCCAAACCAATTAAATTGCTAAATTTTATTTATGTTTAATGGCTGATTGGTAGATAGCAGGGTGTGAATCACGTTTATTCTTTAATTATAGGTAGGTGATTGAAATCTTACCACCACTTTAAATAGCATGAAAGACAGCCTCTTCTCAAATACCTTGTGTTTCACTCTTGGTGACTTCTTGCATTTTCCTTTCCTTTTTGGGAAAGTACCTGAAGCATGGCTGGAGGAAGGATTCTAAGCTTCAATCTCTAAAGACTTCCCTTCCAATTCCAGTTTTACCACTTGTGAGACAAATGACCTTAGGCAAATGGTTCCACTTCTTGAGATTTCTGTTTTGTAATCTGTATGATGTTTATAAAGTAGTTGTCAAGATTCTTCTCAGATAGTAGTAGTGAGGACTAAAGGATATTTAATGTAACTCTCTGGCCCAGCACAATGGCTTCCTTTTGATACAGTCTGAGTTTATTTGCTCCTGAGAAGAGAATTATCTATCCATTTACTTTTGTAAGGCAGAGAAAAGCTGAGCTATTTCAAGTAAATGATGTTCCATGAGCAAAGGAAGAGCCCAAGTATTTTTGAAATCTAGATCCATTCTTTTCCATTGTAGGCTGATACCTAATTATTAATTGTCAGAGTACATGTCGAACTAGAAATGTGCAGAAACACAAGGTGATATTGTAGGCACAGATAATGTGAAGTTAACTTTGAAAAAGTGAAAATGAACAAGACGATTGGAATAGGAAACAGAAAATGGACATCTTCTCTGCCTTAGCTTCCTGTTTCAACACTTTCTTTCTAAGTTCTTTATGGATGCGAGTGAGGGTTTGTTTTATTTTAGACCAAAGGCATTTGGTCAGCTTCTTCTCCCTCATGTCCTCACCCTTGCTTTTCTGAGGGAGGCCATGCATTCATTTCTGCAGGGTGTCTTGTCTCTACCAGGCAACATGCAGTGACATTTTATTTTTTCATTATCCAAGTGTAAGGCTATTTTTCCTCCTCTTCTAAATTACCTTAATGTTCCCTTTTGTAAATCAGAGTAAGGCATTTGGATATAAATCTCTGAGCAGTGATCTCTTAGCTTTTCTAGTGCGTGAGTCGTGAGCAGCTGCAGGAATTCTGGTCTTGGTCTTAGTCACCTGTGTAGTCAGAACAACTTATTAAACAAATTGAGAGGACACCAAGATGCTTTTATAATATATGTTGCTTTCAGGGTTGTTTTGTATGGACTTTGTTTCATGGAAACCATTGACTAGAGACTTCTGATTTATAGATGCAGCAAGGTGTGTGAGCCTTTTCTCTTAATTTGGAGCATACTAAATACTGTTTACAGGGGCCCTGAATTTGCAAGGATTATCATTATCCTATCCCTACCTATTTTTGTCTGTCCAAAAAAGAACATAGATTTTCTTATAATTAGGCCTCTTGCTTCTTCTTCTTCTTTTTTTAAAATCACAATGTGTGTCATTTGAAGGAAATCTATTCTTGATGCAGCTCTCTTTGCGTCCTTCAGTTACATCTTACTGTTTTTTTAGGCTGCCACATTGACCTGGGTATTCAGAGACTTGACTTCTTTCATTAACTTGGATACTGACTTGTGTGACTTTGGGAAATCCTTTGGACCTCCTTGAA